TGACCCAACTTGGGACTATAAAAAAGAGTGCATTTAGAGAAGGTGTGCATTTAGAGAGGGTGTATTTAGGAGGGGTTTTCTGTATATATAAAAAGTGGTCAGAAATAGGTAAAAAAATTTTATAAAAATATAAAAATATTATATAAATATTTTTAAACATTTTTAATATTTTTATATGTTATTTTTTTAATAAATTCATTAATTAAATTAAAAGTTATAATTTTTTTAAAAAAAATTTTATAATCTTACTTTTGAATCAATTTTTTTAACAATATCTTTAACTTTAAAACAAAATATATTAAAAAATTCTTATTATTATTTAAAATTTTTTAATTAATTTTTTTTTATTATAACTTCAAAAATAAATTAAAATATTAAGTTATAAAAAAAATTATTTATAGAATTATTAATTAAAATATTATATAATTATAATAAAATTGTTATGTTTTTTGCACCATATTATACTGTATATATAATCTTTATTCTAAAGATCTTTAATAAAAACAGAAATTTTCATTATATTAAATTTACTAATAATATATTATGCTATAAATATTATATGTTGTTTTGCAAGTGAAAATACAATAAATTTAATAAAATATAATAGTTATTTACTTCTTCAAAAAAAACTTTTTTTAAATTATATATTATTTATCAAATTATAAAAAAAATTTAATTCTATATATATTAGAAGTTATATTTTATGTTACTGAAATTTGTAGATCCTTGATACAATTAATAGAGTTACTATTAAAACATATAAATAATTGAGTCATGACACAATTATTTTTAAGGATTTTGGGAATTAAGTCAACAGCAAAATAATTTATGTCACATGTATATTATATTCTTTTTAATATATAAATTAAAATAATTTTTTTTCAATTATTATTTTAAATATCAATTTCATGGGCATTAAATTATTTTATTATATAAATATATAAATTTTGATAAATACTGATATTGATTGATATAATATCAAAATTATTAATTTGATATTTTTATATAAAAATTAGTACTGAAACTAATCATATCCTTAATTTTAACAGATCAGTCAATAGCAACAAGTCAATATGGAAGAATTTCAATATAGTGTAACATGCAACTAAAATAGTTTATAGATAGTAATTCTTGTAAAGAAATACAAGTGTAAATTAAATAAAGTATACTAGGCTTGCTAGTTGAAAAAGAAAATAGGCAGATTTTTTATATTTAGTTTATTTTTTGTTAATTAAAAAATTAGTATTAAAAAATATATATGAATTTTATATCTGTTTTTTGAGTTTGCAAAAAATCAGCAGTAAAGAATTACAAAAAAAATTCTTTTAATAATATAATGTTTTAAAGATAAAAAAATCGACATTTTTTTCTGCCACCACTGTATATATAAAATGAGATCAATTCCTGTTTTGGCAAATCGAAGGTTACAGATCGACGTTAATAAAATACGCCTATAATACGTAATACGCGTCAAAACGGTAATCAAGCTTTTTTCCGTGAACTCAACGTCAAATATTCACAATGTCGTTTAAACCCATGATCTTGCACCAATTCGGTTCCGTCTACAATTTGATCATTCGGCCCGATTCAACCCAATTTTTAGAGAAAGAGCTTGGTGAAATCGTTCAAAAGAATGTCCAGGTGGACATACCCGCGTTAATTAAGCAGATAGCAAAGGAATATGCAAAAAATAATGGTATTATATACGCCTCGTGTAAGTTTCGTAAGCTTGACCTCGATTACATAATTTATCTATAATTTTCTATGTTAACAGAGCACAGTAGCTTTGTGGAGCTGGATAAATTAAAAACCGTCTATCATAATTTACCGTACATGAAAAAAGAGGCGCCTGTGTCGGGGAAAGATGATTCAACGATTGATGAAGCTGACCCCTATAAATATTTTCATGTGATAAATGCTTTCGATATGCCCAATTGGAAAATCGAGAAGGAAACAAGGGCGTTTATAAGGTAAAGCAGGTTTATGAAAAAACACATAATACACGACCTCAGATTTAATCAGTATATATTTCAAGGAATACCAATCCACCTAAGATTCTTGGCTCTCCAAAAGAATCGGTCCATGTCGAAAGATTCGATTTGATTTATCAAAGACTAGTACGGAGACCAAGATCTTGGAAAAGGGCCACGAGTTTCAAGAGGGTCGAGAGCAAGGTAAAAATAACGCTCTTATGATAGCAATTCTTATTTTTTTCATTAAATCTTTTGCGTTTAAAATATAGCTACCTACGATAAAAGATCTACGTGGGAGAACGGGTCAAAGTTTTACCGTCTTTGGTATGTTGACTTCTCTAGCGGATGGAACATATTATCTCGAAGATAAAGATGGATGCATGAAGTTGGATTTATCGGAATGTGTATGTATAGTCAATATAATAATTGATTGATTGTCATATTGATTATTTCTATTCTACGTCTATATTTTATTGAAATTTCTAACAAAGGAATTTGAAGGATTTCATGCTGAGGGTAACTTTGTCCTGATTAAAGGTCAATACTGCGATGGTCAAACGTTTAAGGTATTGAAGATGGAAAATCCACCGTTAGAATGTGCTGAGGACACAAGGTAATACGCAGAGGACCGGTCTAAAATATCTCCACGGACAACAAATATATCTCTTTCTTTATGCACTTTTCTGTTATGAATTAGGAAAGAGCTGGGACGTATCGATTTTTTGGGAGCTCCAATAATCTTTGAGGATGAGGTTTGTTTATCACTTACTATATATAATCTGTCAACTAAAGTCACTGAACTAATTGCTTCTATTTTTATAGGTGATTAAGAAATGCGAAGTAAAATGGGATCATTTGTTTTTCGCTGTACTTTCTGACGTTTGGTTAGATGAATATAAGGTTTGTGATATTCAATGATGTCGACTTTATTTTTTACTTAGATTGACATCAGTTTAACGTCTCTAGACGTTAGCTAATTTAAGGGAAATGTTTCGGATTTATGCAAGTGTAAATATATTTCCCTTTGCTTTTATCTTTCTTGGAAATTTTCTATCCGAACCATTCTTATACACGGAGGAACATTCTACAAAATATAAAGGTTTTTATTAATTTTTAACTTTTTTCTTCACTAATATATTATCCTAACCATTAAGGGTCTCTTGATTTCTGATAGTGGCCTTTGATAAGTTAGGCAGCCTTATTGCCGAGTTTCCTTCTATAGCAAAGTCATCTTATTTTATCTTTGTGCCGGGCAGTGATGATTTTATTTTAAGTGGGCCATTGCCACAAAGACATATCTCCGATTTGTACACCTCTCGGTTAAAAAACAAGTTACCCAATGCCATCTTCACCAGCAATCCTTGCAGGTAATAATTGATAATAATCAATAATACTAATCATCTGTTAACGTGCTATCACATTAAACGGTGATTGTTTTTTTTTAAACAGAATTAAATATTGTAGTCAGGAACTTGTGATTTTTAGAGAAGATATCATTTACAAATTCAAAAGGAATTGTATAAAGGTTCCAAAATGTCAGAACACGCAGGATAGCCTGGAAAAACAGGTGAGCAAGATTCTTTTTAATCAAATGAGTTCCTATTTGTAATTCTAATACATCAAAATGCAAATAGGTGGTAAGGACTTTATTACACCAATCACACTTGTGCCCCTTTCTGCTATCTGCGAGGCCTATTGTACGGGATTATGACCATTCCCTCAGATTATACCCTGTTCCAGATGTTGTAAGTAATGGTTTTGTTATTAATAAACAAAGACAGTTTGAAAGTGCTAAAAGTTTACTATTAAATCCGAACAAATAGTTGATATTGGCAGATAAATATCCAAATTACTCTTTTGACATCGTAACTACATCACACCCTGATAATCAGAATACGGATTCCACAAACATAAATAAGTGTCACTGTTTAAATCCGAGTGGATTTTCTTCAAATGGATATAAATGGATGGTTTATTATCCAGCGTCGAAAAAATCAGAACTTTGGTAAGATGATATTACTAGAATGAATTCAATGTTTTTTTTCGTATGAAGATGCTAACATTATTTACCAATATTTTTGATTAAATAAAAGCAAATTACCAGCTTCTTGACAGTAAACTTGTTAATTAAAAATTAAATAATTACATGTGTCCATAAATCTGTGCAGATTTAAGTGGTTTTACCCGCGAATATACAGATGAATTAAATGAACTCAAGAATGATTTGATATAAACAAAAATTAATAATAATGTATTCCATATAAACTTATGTGATTAAAAATTTTTTTGTTTTTTTAAAATTTGATTGATCACTTAAAAAAAATATTTATATTATTAATATTATAAATATTGACAAATTCATATTATTATTTTTTTATAGTCAAATAAGTGTACAATGTTTATTGGATTTTTACAGAAAAAATTAATGTAAAATTTATTATACAGTGTGAAATATTTGCTTTTGAAAAAAAAAACTATTATTATTTATTATTATTATTATTATTATTTTAACCTACAATCAGGCTGGAGTTATTTATTTATTTAATTATAAAAATTATTATAAGTATGAGAATACATGCAAAATATAAACCTTTTTCTATCCAGCTTATTCATTAATAGCCAAAGCCTCTAAATATAATTTATAGAAGTAATAATATTGTTTTTCTATTGAAAAGAATTTAAATCCAAGATCTTTAATAGAATCAAAACCTGCAAATTATCTTTACAGTTATAATTATACATGTGATGGAATTAAATTTAAATATTTTTCAAAAACTATATTATATAGTAAATAATTTGAAATTGTATTTAATTTGAAATCATATTATAGATTAAATTTTCTTTTATAGTAATAAAAAAACATGTATAGTTATAACTATATATGTAATAAAATTGAATTCAGACATTTTTTAAAAACTATATTACTATTAAAAACATAGTAAATTAATTGAAAATTGTATTGCTATATATGGTAAGGATCAACAATTCAATCATATGTATAATATATAATGAAGTTATATTTTTAATTTTTGAATTAATATAATTTGTAATAATTATATTCTAATTAAATAAGAAATTGGAATTAATAAGAAATTATAATAAATAAAAAATATTAAAAAAAACTCTTTCCCGCAAATCTCCAAATTCCTAAAAATTTCCTTTTTTGATAATACTATAAAACACTCAAAAAACACTCAAAGAAACACTCAAAAAGAACATCCAAAAAAAAACTCCATAATATTTTATTGAAAATAAAGGAGGACTAACATAACAGGTATACTGTAGGTTCAAAAAGTATATTAACCCTTCTTTATTTCTTAATTTTAGAGACAGATACTTGTGATCCCTTACTGGAAGAAAAGGGAAAACAAAGAATACAATTCACAGTAAAATTAAAAAAGAAAGTCAGCACCGCACTTCACAAGCTGCTAGCCAGTCATGCACCAGGTTAGATACCTCCCTAGACACCAGCAGGACTTAATATTGGCCAGATCACACCCAGTAAACCAGGCAACCTTGCACACCAATACAAAATCATTACTGTAATTGAAAAGAAAAATACAAATCTCAATATTTTTTGAAGATAAACAATATCCATTACACGATCAGTTTTTTGGTGGAGACAAAAACCAAAGACAGGTTACCTCCTCCCAAAAATCAATAGTAATGCAAACACATACTTTTCAGAACCAAACAATATCAACAATTGTCAAACAAACAAACACAGCAATCCAAAACGCAACACGTGTACCTAACAGATTCAAAGTTTACCAAAGTTAACTTACTTCCAAAGCAAGATCTGCAGTAGCACAAACATGCTATCACTACAAACAAAGTAATAAGACACAAACAAGGCTTATCAAAACAAGCAGTCCACAAACAACTTGGTATAACACGTGTTAATTTCAATTCTATACACCAAAAGAGAACAACTATACTGCACAATAAGCTGTTCCAAGCAAATTAATATGCACCAAACAAATAGCAAATTAAGCCAGTTCACACATGTTAACCCAGCAAAAGTCCAAAACAATGATTGACTTCAATCCAATCCAAATAGAAAATCTAATAATAGAACATCTCAAAATAATTGAAGACAATCACAATGAAGGTGAACAAAAGTGGTTCTGTACGTTGATCAAAGATAGCACAACAAATATAGCATCAGAACTGACAAAATTAGGAGCAATAATAAACATCACAGTCATAGATACAGTAGCGGCAAAACTTCTCAATGTCAATTCACATATAGCTGTAAAATGGATGTTGACTAAAAAATACATCAAACAAATCTGGGTGTTTAATCAACTAGACATGAACATATTAAACAGATACATATTAGAAAACTCATAACAAGTGTCTCAGATTGTGGATATCTTATATTTAGGTCAAGATCCACGATATGCACAAAACAAAGACCCAGAAATCACATTATCTTCAGGACAACCCGAGACAAGAAACTATAACCACAACTATCAACATGAGTTAGTTGAAAGAAGTAAAGAAAACATGTCAGAAAATTACATTAATCAAGAAAATGTAATAAAGCAGGCAAATGAAGAACAACAAATACCAGAAGTCATTATGAATGAACAGACCTCTGGAAACATAACCGAAGACTAGGAAATACATGTCCCAGAGATAGTCATGAAAGAGCAATTTCTCCCAGACAAAGACCCTAACATGCTAACACTTACTCC